TAAAATCAGAAACAAAAGAAAAGTAACCACTGACACCACAGAAATACAAAAGATCATAGAAACATACTATGAACAATTATACGCCCACAAGTTGGACAATCTAGGAGATATGGACAAATTTCTAGAAACACACAACCTCCCAAAACTGAACCAGGAAGAGATAGAAAACTTGATAGACTAATAAAAACAAAGGAAATTGAAGAAACTCCCAGCAAGCAAAAACCCAGGCCCAGATGGCTTCACGGGGGAGTTTTACTATACATTCAAAGATCTAATACCCATTCTCCTCAAACTATTCCAAAAAATCCAAGAAGATGGAACATTTCCAAACTCATTTTATGAGGCCAGCATAATCCTAATTCCAAAACCGGATAAAGACACTACAAAGAAAGAAAACTACAGGCCAATATCCCTGATGAACACAGATGCCAAAATCCTTAACAAAATATTAGCAAATCGGATCCAGCAATACATCAAAAAATTTATTCATTATGACCAAGTGGGTTTCATCCCAGGTATGCAAGGATGGTATAATAGTCATAAATCAATAAGTGTCATACACCACATATACAAAATGAAAGATAAAAATCATTTGATCATAACAATAAACACTGAAAAATCATTCAACAAAATCCAGCACCTATTTCTGATAAAAAACACTCAACAATGTGGGAATACAGAGATCATATCTCAACATAATAAAACCATACATGAAAAACCTACAGCCAACATCATACTCAATGGGCAAAAACTGAAAACATTCCCCTTAAGAATGGGAACAAGACAAAGATGCCCACTTTTGCCACTCTTATGCAACATAGTCCTGGATGTGTAAGCCACAGCACTAGACATGAAGAAACAATAAAAGGGATCCAAATTGGAAAGGAGAAAGTGAAACTTTCATTATTTGCAGATGACATGATATTGCACATAGAAAACCCTAAAGACTCCATCAAAAATCTACTAGAGTTAATAAATGAATTTGGCAACATAGCAGGATACAAAATTAACGTCAAGAAATCAACGGCATTCTTATACACCAATGATGAACTCACAGAAAGAGAAACTAAAAACACAATCTCATTTACCATTGCAACAAAAATATTAAGATACCTAGGAATAAACTTAACCAAAGAAGTAAAGGACCTATTTGTAGAAAACTACAGGACACTGAAAAAAGAAATAGAGGAAAATATTAAAAAGTGGAATCACATACCTTATTCCTGGATTGGAAGAATTAACATCATTAAAATGTCCATACTACCCAAAGCAATCTATAGATTCAATGCAATCCCCATCAAAATGCCAATGACTTATTACACAGAACTCGAACAAACACTCCAAAAGTTTTTATGAAACCAAAAGAGACCCTGAATAACCACAGCAATCTCAAAAAAAAAAGAACAAAGTAGGAGGGATCACATTACCAAATATCAGGATATACTACAAAGGCACTGTAATCAAAACAGCCAGGTACTGGTATAAGAACAGACAGATAGATCAATGGAACAGAACAAACAACCCAGAAATTGACCCAAAAAAATATGCTCAATTAATATTTGACAAAGGTGGCAAAAGCATACAATGGAGTAAAGACAGTCTCTTCAATAAATGGTGCTGGGAAAATTGGACAGCTACTTGCAAAAAAAATGGAACTAGACCACCAACTTACACCATACACAAGAATAAACTCATAATAGATAAAATACTTAAATGTAACTCATGAATCCATAAAAATTTTAGACGAAAATGTAGGCAACAAAATTTCACACATCATACGCAGCAGAATTTTCACTGATACATCACCTAAGGCAACAGAAACAAAGGAGAAAATGAACACATGGGACTACATCAAACTCAAAAGCTTCTGCATAGCAAAAGATACAATCATCAACATGGAAAATGAACCCACCATAAGGGAGACCATAATTTCCAATGATGCACCAGATAAGAGGTTAATTTCCAAAATATATAGAGTACTCATACAACTCAACAAAAGGAAGACAAAGAACCCAATTAAAAAATGGGCAGAGGATCTAAATAGACACCTCTCCAAACAGGACATACAAATGGCCAAGAGACATATGAAAAAATGCTCAACATCATTAATATCAGAGAGATGCAAATTAAAACAACTGTGAGGTATCACCTCACACCTGTCAGAATGGCCGCCATCAACAAATCATCAAACAACAAGTGTTGGCGAAGGTGTGGAGAAAAGGGGACCCTAGTACACTGCTGGTGGGAATGCAGACTGGTGCAGCCACTATGGAAAACAGTATGGTGTTACCTCAAAAAGTTAAAAATTGAACTGCCATTTGACCCAGTGATCCTACTTCTAGGAATATACCCTAAGAAACCTGAAATACCAATCAGAAAGAATATATGTATCCCCATGTTCATAGCAGCACTATTTATAATCTCTAAGATCTGGAAATAGCCCATCTGCCATCAGTAGACAAATGGATAAAAAAAAGCTGTGGTACATGTACACAATGGAGTACTATGCAGCTGTAAGAAAGATCTCTTATCCTTTGAGACGACATGGACGGACCTAGAGAGTATTATCTTAAGTGACACAAGCCAAGCCGAGAAAGACAAATACCACATGATCTCACTTATTTGTGGAATATAATGAACTAAACAAAATGATGAGCAAAATTGACCCAGAGACATAGAGGCAGGGTACAGACTGACAAACCCCAGAAGAGGTGGGGTTGGGGGAAAGAGATAAACCACAGAACTTATATGCATGTATGTATGAACATAGACAACAAAGCTGGGGATGGGCTAGGGGATGGGAAGGAGGGTGTCAATGGGGGGAAAAAGGAGAAACATCTGTAACAAAAAGAAATTAATAAAAATAATTTTTTAAAGAAAATGATTTTCTTAGCTACTCCCCTTTCTGGGTTTTGAGTTGTTAAATAATCTAAATGTCAGGCCCAGAATTTAGTTATTTACTTTTTTAAATATGTTGTTATTTTGATGATTTTAGAAAGAGGGGAAGGGAGAGAGAGAGAGAAACATCGATGTGACGGAGAAACATCAATCGGCTGCCTCCTGCACGCCCCCTGCTGGGGATGGAGCCCACAGCCCGGGCATGTGCCCTGACCAGGAATCGAACCAGCGACTTCTCAGTCCATGGGATGACGCTCAACCACTGAGCCACACCAGCTGGGCCAGAATTTATTTTTTAATATGACTTTCTAAATAGGATATTCAAAGACATTTCTGACCATGACATTATTTGAGAGCATGAATCAAGTAAATTCTTTTTTTTTATACTGGGGAGGCAATACATATTAATAGTGATACTATCATTAAAACTATAAAATTGTAAAGAAAAAATAGTACAGCTTTTTTTTAAAAAGTGGGGGTACAGGGAGGAGAATTTACAGTCGAAGGAGGACAATTAGACAGGATTTCTTATGTCCTTTATATTTGCAATAAAAATTCTAAATCCAGTAGAAGTCTGCTGAACCTGTGAAATGGTTAAACCACCACCAAAAATTAGTTTAAGAAGCTGGAAACCCAGGCAGAACTGTGGGCACCTAAGTCCACCTCTGGCTTCTTTTCAATATCATACCTAAGCCGTCCCCTCAGCCCTGCGTGCTTGAGTCATAACCGGTCCACAGAGTCTCTGCCTTGACCTCTTAGCATTCCCGGGGTTTTATGCAACTTGTGATAGGAATGTTGCCAGAGAAACTGACCTGATGAAGAGGTTCCGACTTAGTATTCTACCAAGACAGAAGAGACAAGGACACTTACTGCTATCCAGTCCGTTTTTTTATGAACACCATCGAATTACTCAGGGTTCTCCATAGAAACAGAGCCAATATGATGGGGGGGGGGAGGTTATTTTAAGAAATTTGCCCTGGCCGGTTTGGCTCAGCGGTTAGAGTGTCGACCTGCGGTCTGGAGAGACCCGGGTTCGGTTCCCGCTAAGGGTGTGTCCCTCGATTGCAGTTTGTCCCCAGCCCTGGTTGGGTTGTGCGGGTGACAGCCACTGGATGTGTCCTTTGACGTCGATGTTTCTCTTTCTCTCTCTCTTCCTCTCTCTCTCTCCCACTCTGTCTGAATAAGAAAATGGAAAAATGTCTTCGGGTGAGGACAAAAAAAAAAAGAAAAAGAAATTGGCTTACGGGATTGTGGGGCTGGTGGTTCTGGGGTACATGGGGCAGGCTACAGACCCCAGGAAGAGAGGATGGGGCAGCTGAAGTTGAAGGCTTTTTGGAAGTGGACATCCTTCCCCTTTGGGGGACCTCAGTCTTTTCTCTTTGGATGATCTTTACTCAAAACCTATTGAAATGTTAACGTGAGAAGAAAAACACCTTTGGTGCAACACCTAGACTGGCATTGGACAGAAACTGGCGACCATAGTGTAGCAAACTGACACGTAGAACTGACGACCACAGCCATCCACGTTCTCTGTTCTCAGTCATTACGGCTGCAGTTCATTCGGCCCATGTGTTTCTGCCGGAAACAGATCGAGCGAGTCCTCCCTCAAACGTGAGCGAGATGTCTGCGAGCAAAAATCCACCTCAAAGCTCTGTGGGCCTGGGTTTTCCTTGGCCTTATTCCTTAATAACCGTCGACAGAGTCTTTTATATCACCAGAGTGGCTTTTCCCTCCTTCGGCCGCGTACTTTCTGTTCACAAACACTCCCCAGAGGCACCCGGTTGGGTACTATCGTGTTCTCTCATCAGTTCAAGTACCCCAGTGGCTTTGATACAGATAAGTAATTGCAATCCTTTTGTTTATAGATGTGCCTTGGATTAAACATTCATGGCCTCTGTACGGAACACAAATATGCGCAGGGTTCCATCTCTAATGAAAGTTTAATTGTGGTCTGCCAGCAGGGGACCCGGGGCCCAGGGCACAGGCTGGTCAAGAGCAGGGGCAGCGCTGTGCACCTGCCACCTGAGCCGCGGGCCCTCTCGAGCCCCAGACCTCCCGGCTGCGCCGATCCCTTCTTCCAGCTCCTTCTGGGGCACAGCTGAATGGCTGAGGCGCTCTCGGACCGGGAGCCGAGCTCCCCGGGGCTGGATCTGGAGGAGATAAGTAGGAAGATTTCTTTCCTCGACAAATGGAGGGACATCTTTAGTTATCACAGGTGAGCTGGTCTCGTTTTCCCACTTTTCTGGCGCCGAAGGGACGGTCGGCGTTTCGGTGCGCAGCCTCTGAGCCTGCTACGTGAGCAGACTCCGTTCCGGATTCACGCGGACAGCCCTCCGGGTGCAGCTCTGCAGCACGAGGTTTGCGGATGAGAGGGTCGAACGGGGTGAGCCATTTTCTTGATGTCTTCTCTTTCATTTTTAGGTTGGGAAGCAGTAACACAGCTCCTCAGGTAATTACTGTTCTCAAAGCGTTGCCCTCTTCAAACAGCCGTGTTCACAGCGCGATCCACGTGGTCCACGCCCGTAAATGCCACGCAGCCACGGATCACTTCACGTGCAAGAACATAAAACCAGAACGCCTGTGGAAAACCCTCTCTTCTACTCTCTTTTATCGTAAAAATCACTTCCTACTTTTAAGAGCTACTTCTCGTTAGCAGCGCCGTACGGTTATCATTTTAGAAAAAAGTGATGCCGGGATCCAGCTCCCCCACGTGAGCAAGGACGCCGGTTCTGACGGCCAAGCGCTCAGCGTCCCTGAACAAGGGTCGTTTTGAAGACTTATCTTTATTCGGCTTCTGAGAAATTGTTTTCCCTCACCGTTTCCAAAGGAGAGGAGGGTGACTAAATTCTGCTGCTAAAAAGTTATTTTAAAATCTGTTATGCAATATAAGATTTAAAAAGGAGGTTTGTATCTCATGTCGCCTGAGAAGGGTAGAAGGTGACAGACTTCGTATTTCAGATACGAATTCAGTCACTAAACGAACACAGCACAAAATATTAGGGTGATTTGCAGTCGTATAGGATATGATCAGACAATTGAATTATTACTATTTTAACCATAACACTAAAGTATCCTGCCCCAAGTAACCTGTGATCAAAAGCCTTATTTGTGTTACTTCCTGAACCGTGGTCTAAATTAGAATCAGGAGATAGGGATTCTGTTTCAGTCCTGGGAGTATTAAGTGGAGCTAGTTGCCACTTGGGGGAATAAAATACTTAAATGACAAAACAATTTTTGAAAGAAGAAAATAATAATAATAAATGGCACGATATGCCTTACGGAGGTGGGGGAACCCCACCGGCACTAAGGGAAAGATTTTCCATTTGATTTACAAAACGCATCTTATCCCATCAGTAGTCTGTGGCTTGGATGCTGTATTTCTGAGATAAGAAGGCATCTGTGCCTCTAGGGATCCAAAACACTAAGTAGGCAGTTTCTTTCATGCTTCAGCTACGAATAGGGCAGATTTCTCTCGTGACCTGCGTGTAGAAGTTAAGTACATTGGAAGAAGAGTTGATGTTCCCGTATATTTAGATGCCATAAAATCAGTCAAGAAAAACAAAAATAGATTTTTTTTTTTCCTTGAAGATGAGACGTGAATTTTTTTAAGGAAGGAAATTACTCTCACTTAGTGGGAAAGAGAATGAAAAGGACCTGACTTCGTTTATTGGCCAGTTAATATAATGACAAACACCGGGAAGATCCATCCACTACTCATGAAATGCTGTCCCCTCAGAACCAGACCCAGTGACATTTATGTTCTTCTCCAAACATAATTTCATGTCAAGGTCTTGATAGCATTAATTATGTTTCCATAGTTACATTTAACCTCTTCCAGTCCCATCGAACTTGTGAGAAACCCCTTTGACACAGACCCTGGGAGGTGCCTGCCTCTTTTATTGCTATGTAGCACGATTTTCAGGCATCTTGAAAGAGGAGACAGCATTTTCTGGGGGGAAATGTATAATTTCAGAGAGAAAGAAAGGAAAGGTTGGGGGGAAGCCGGCACAGCTCTGTCTGCTTTGTCTTTTGGTGGCTGCTTTGTACACAGAACCATGAAGACAGCCCCGTGTCTGCAGATAAAAGGGGAGATGGACCAGCACTACCTCAGCCCAAAGGACAAGGACACTTGCCTCCAAGTGGCCTTTGTTCCGTTGCCAAGCGCTGGATCACCCCTACAAAACCGGGCGGCCTCCCTGTCTCCCCGCCGATGGCCACAGTGAGTGCGACTTGTCAATTAAACATGAAACGAAACGTAATCTTCCCCCAACGGCGGGGCCGGGACATCTTATCTGCTGTCCCGGGAGAGCGTTCTCGAAGATGAAACCACCCGCGTCTGTTATTAGTAAAAGGAGAATAGAGTTAAAATGACTTATTTATAGGGTTTTTCAAGGACACTGGTGATGTTACAGTCTTCCTCCCAAACGCTGAGTCTCTCCGTGTCCTCGCTTTGACAGTTAAGCGTGAGGGAGTTAAAGTCACAAGAGTGGCTGTGGGGGTCGGGTGGGTCAGCCAGTGAGTGCTGGCGTCCAGGGGTGAGACGGAGCCTGTCCGGGGTGGGCAGGAGGAAGGGGGGTCCTGTGCCAGGCTTAGTTCCAGGGCAAGAGCTGACCTCAGGACAGGAGGGCTTCCTCGGGCTGCCAACGGGTCTGCAGGCTCGAAAAGAACCCGGCACGAGAGGATCCAAGTGGATCTGGAAGCAGCTGGCCCTAAGGACCCTTTGCTCATTTCAGATCTTGGCCAGGGTGGGGTGCGGGGCTGAGATGGAGACCCAAGGAGCGGGCAAACCCAGCAGCACCGTTGGCACAAACAAGCCAGGGCTGGGGCAAGGCCTCAGCAAACGTCCAGAGGAGCCGCTGTCGTGCTCCAGAGGCCGCTGGGAGCTGGGGCAGCTCAGCCTGGGGGGAGCCAGGGGAACAGGACCCGCGTGGGTGAGAGAGCCCTCCAACGGTGCGGCCCTCCACTGTAGCCCCCACATTCTCCTCACACCCCAACTTCACAGGGACCTGCCCCGGGGGCCGGAGGACAAAAGGAGGAAGACTAGTTCCTTCCAGAGCACCGGCTGCCCTGCCCCTGGGCATGGGCGCAGACACCCCCGTGAGGCTGCCCGGCCCGCCTGTGCCTACAGCCCAGGGCCGCTGCTGCCCAGGGGTCGAGGGGACCTGGAACCCCTCCGGGGACACCGCACAGGCTCCACCTGCTGCTTCTTTGTAACCCTCACCGGGGATGTTCGTTGATTTTAGAGAAAGGAAGGGAGGGAAAGAGAGAGAGAGAGAGAGAGAGAAACATTCATCAGTTGTCTCCTGTCTGCGCCCTGACCGGGAATCGAACCCACAACCTTTTGAGGTACAGGACAACGCTCCAACCCACTGAGCAACCTGGCCGGGGCTGCACCTGCTTCTTGAGCACAGGGGCCGAGCTGCCCGACCTCATGTTTCCTACTCTGGACGTAGCTGTGCCGAAGCTCCTGGGATGAAACATCACCAGACCAGGGCCTCCCGCGCCTGCTCCCCATCAGGCAGTGTCACAGGTGCGCCGTCGGGTTTGCCCCACGATGTACTGGGGGCCTGTCTCCTCTTCCTCATCACAAGTCCCTCCGCCTCAGTCCACCTGCTCTCCCCTGCTCAAACGCCAGAGGTCAGAAGACAGGTCAGCAGGGATCTCAGGAGAGGCTGTGCCTCCCAGCCCTGGGTGGCGCCTTCGCTCGGTCTTCGGTACCTGGCGAATCCTCCCCTTTGGGGGAAGAAGGCAGTGACACCTCCTCCTCCTAGGGTGCAGCCTCCCGGGTCCTAGGAACACACGTCAGGGCAGCTAGCTGTATTTTACGGGACAAGATCGTGTTTTTAATGAACACTCTCTAATACGGTGTTGGTCTCTGAAATAAACTCCCGAGGAGAACGTCATTTTAAAATGTGTGTGTATCTGGGAAGAGGCTGCTTTGCGTGTGAAAGAGAGAAGCCTAGGACTCTGCTGGCATTGCCGTGTGTGCACACAGAAATCCCCGGGGAGTCCCTGACGGGGAGCCCTGGGCCACTGGGCGACAAGGGGCACGGGGCGGGGGGGTCCTTCTCAGCTGCCTTCTTACACTCTGGATTTTGAACCGTGTGAATGTGCAGTCTATTTTTAAAAACACACATACAGATTTTTAAAATAGCAAAAAGCATTTGCAGATGCCTCCCAGAGTCTCCCAGTCTCTCTGCAGGTCCCTGGGTTCTGCGGAGGCAGGAGTCCGGGCCTGAACCCCCGCTTTCCTGCCGAGGCCCTGGCGGCACAATGGGGGCCTCCCCACGGGCTCCCCCAGGGCAGCCCTCTCCCTGTGGAAAGGCTGGGGGACGAAGAACCCGGACCACTCTCGCCCGAAGCCGACCGAGGGGGTGTTAGGGGAGCCCCGGAGGTAGAGATGATTGACTTTTCTTTAAAAGAATATATTTGGTCCGTTTCCCTTATGCGGCCCGATGACAGCGTGTCCCTTCGACAGCGGCAGCACTGAACGCACCTGGCACGGGGCCGCGAGGAGCCCTGGGACTCTGAGTCCCCGTGTCCCGGGGGGCAGGGCGGCTGCCTGCGAGGTGCAGAGCTGGGGAGCCCCGAGCCCCGCTGGGGCATGACTCTGTCGCTGGTCTGCGGCTTTCTCCCCAGCTCCCTGTGTGAAGTGGGGATCGCGGGATTTCCTGACGTTGGCACCCACTCCGCTGGGAACCTGCTCAGAAAGTAGGGGTGGGCCAGGCACCTCGGGTACCCCTGCTTTTCCCAGATCCCCGGTTTCTCCCCTTTTTGTTGCTGATATTACAGCCTTCTTCCTCCCTCCAACCGAACATCTTACGGTGTGTGTACGGGGGGGACACTGCCCCAGACCGCTGACCCCTGGTTTGTGGACAGGGAGGGGGGCCCTGCTCTGGCTTCTACCCGGAGTTGTCCAGGCCCTTCTCCGGGGCCAGCCTGGAGCACACTCCTGTAACGGCTCATTATCAGCAGCCGGTGAACAAACCGCGGTGTGTTGGCGACACCGCCCAGCGGGTCGGACTGGAAGCGTAATGCTGGGAGGTCAGCGATTCTGGGGGGACCCAGGTGAAGCTGTAACAGAGGATAACGGGCAAAGCCATGGCTTTGGGGGAGCAGGGGGCGCAGGCTGGTGGCCCCAGCATGGGTCTGGCCAATGGATGGGCCCCAGGAGATGTTCATTGACTTCATTAATCCACTGCTCCGGGTGACCCCGAGACAGGCACCTGTGTGGGGTGGGGGTGCCATCCCAGGGCCGCTTCAGAGTGCTCTCGAGTCTTCTCTGTCTGCTGCTGCAGGAGACTGGCCGAGGGGCTCCCTCCTCCTCGGGCTTCCTGCCCAGTCTGTCCGTCTGTCTGGTGGGAGCCATGGAGGGAGCCTGGCGGTGGGGGGGGGTCAGGTTTGCACAGCTGGCCGGTCCCCTCCTCCGGTGCAGTTCAGGTGACCGCTCCTCCCCCTTCAGGTTCAGGGTGCACAGAGACTTCTGCCTATAGCCCGGGGACCCTGCATTAGCGTGTCCCCATATGTGGTCCACATCTTGGAAAATAGTTTCTGCGTTACACTCTCCTAGTTGTCCTGGCTGGTTTGGCTCAGCGGTTGGAGCGTCGGCCCGCGGACCAGAGTCTCAGGTGTGATTCCAGCCAAGGGCACGTCTTTGGTTGTGGTTCATCCCCGACCCTGGTTGGGGTCGTGTAGGGGGCAGCCAGTCAATGTGTCTCTCTCACGTCAATGTTTCTCTCTATCTCTATCTCTATCTGAAGATAAATGGAAAAATATCCTCGGGTGAGGATTAAAAAAAACTTTCCTCGAGTTAACTGTCCCGACTCCAGAGAGCCCATCTCCTGCTGGGACCCAGACGGGGGTGCCCGTCGGCAGGGTGGCACTGGGGTCCTGGCGCTGCCATTTACTAACTGTGAGCCTGGGTACCCCGACTGCTCTGGGCCTCCAGTCCTGTAGCTGTAAAACGAAAGGGTCGAATTAGACTTTTTAAAATTATTCAGCACATGCTCGTGGTGAGCTGCTCTGTGCCCGGCGCTGTGCCCAGCGCTGTCCCGACCTGGACAGATCCGTGCGAGCCAGTCAGCGGAGCCCGAGCCTGGCTCTCTGTCGCACGGGCTGAGACTCACTAACTCTGAAATCCTGGGTCCAGGACGGTCCCGTCATTGTTAAGGCAAGAAAAGATTTAGGGATGGGGCTTCAAACAGAATGACCTCACTTCCTGTTGTCCGGGGGAGGGGGGAGGGGAAGAGGCCTGGACAGGACCAGGTTGTCACAGGGAAACTCTAAGCCCAGGGACAGGGACAAAGCAGTGGGGGTAAGGAAAGTAAACCTGGTGTGTGTGTGTGTATTAATGACCGTCGTCATTATCATCGTCACAGGAACCAAGAAAGAGATATTCATGACAAACCCGAGAAAACGAACAAAGTGAACGAGAAAAGCTATACACGGTGCTGGATGGTATTAAGTAATTATGTGTTTGGTGATTGTAGTAAGTAACAATGACCAGCACAGTCACTCCTTAGGACCACTGACCACGTGTGGCCAGTCACGAGGCAGCCACATACATGTATCGCTGAGCTGTATCAGGTCGACCTTGGTGTAAGTTACAGTTGATGCGCAAGTGGTAACATGAAGGTTCTCTCAGCAGGGGGTCTGGCAGAGAGGCCCGATCCAGGCCTGGGGGGCAGCCTTCTCATCGGGCTTGTGCTCCACGCCTCTTAGTCTCAACAGTCGTAATGCCCACGTTCACACACGGCGCCCCCTTCCTGCCGGGCTGCAGCCTCGTTCCGTCTGGTGCGGACGGGCTTCCCCGCACAGGTGGTCCCGCGCAGACAGGCTGTTTCCACGGAGGGAGTAGCGCCCTCCGCTGACGCGGCGCGCCCGGCCCCAGAGCCCGGGTCCGCCCCTCTGCTCTTTCAAGGGTAGCCCAGGTGGGGCCCAGCAGGGATGCTCCTCATTTGGAAGAAGCAAATGAAGTCTTTAAGCTTGGACCTGTCCGAGCCCACGTGGTCCGTAGGGAGCACAGCTGGGCTTCGCCACCCCGGTCGGCAGTCTGCCTTCTGAGCTAGGTAGCCTGATGTCAGGGAACCACTTTCTGTCATTTCCGATCCTCTGCTAGGGGTGTCCTGAGTGGGTGGCCCTCTTTCGCCATGGTACCCACGGAGTCTGTGTCTTCTAAGAGCAACCTCTGCGCCCCTCTGCTGCTGTCCTTGACTTGCACCCGGGATCGAAGCTGAGGCAGAGCAGTGGTGTCAAAACAGGCAAAACCCCTGCTCCGTTTCCCCACCTGGGTGACCTTCGGCAAATACTTCTCTGTAAAAGGGGATCATAGTGTACCCACCTCCAAGAAGTAAATTAACATAATGAAGGTAAAGCACTAAGCCCCGTGCCTGGTGTATAGAAATGTTCGGTAAATGCTAGATGTCATTTTTCAGCTTAGCTGAAATGCCACCTCTTCCATGCAGCCTTCCTGAATACTTCAGTCCGAGGTTCTCTCTCCTTCCTTTGTTCTTTCGTGGTACTCCGCACCTGACTTACGGAACCTCACACCTGTGTCTTTTTTTTTTTAATCCTCACCCGAGGCTATTTTTCTTTTTTTTTTTTTAAATGTAATTTTTTTTTTCCTTCATTGATTTTAGAGAGAGGAAGGGAGAGGGAGAGAGAGATAGAAACATCGATGAGAGAGAATATTAATGGGCTGCCTCCTTCATGCCCCCTACTGGGGATCAGGCCCACAACCTGGCCATGTGTCCTGACTGGGAATCAAACTGGTGACCTCTTGGTGCAGGGGTCGATGCTCAACCACTGAGCCACACCAGCTGGACTATTTTCATATTTATCTTCAGATAGAGTGGGAGGGACAGAGAGGGAGAGAAAGGGAGAGGGAGAGAAACATTGATGTGAGAAAGACACATCGACCGGTTGCCTCCTGCATGACCTGGACCAGGGCCAGGACTAACCGCCACCGAGGTACATGCCCTTGGCCGGAATCAAACTCGTGACTCATTGGTCTATGGGACGACGCTCTAACCATTGAGCCCAACCAGCCAGGGCCACACCTGTGTCTTATCCATACTTGTGGGTGGCAGAGGTTTTACGCATCTACCTCCCACACAGGACCTGGCACACGCTACACGATAAATGCATCTCTGATTATGGGTGGGTTTCCTTTTTTCACGTGTTTGGTGTATAAAGTTCGTTTCCATTTTTCTGGGAAGCCTTCGGAAACAGTTTCCACTCTCAAGGTCCTACCGAGTATGCAGGAAAAGCTAAAGATTCTGGAGCAAGAGAACAGAGATGCTTGTGCGGCATCATCGAAGCCACTACTGCACTCAGGCTAGACACGCAGAACCCCGTCTGTCCCTTTCGTCCCGGAGCAAGTCGTGAATGTGGGGACACAGGCACAAGGACAGAGCGCAGCCCGGCGTGTACCTGGGGGGGGGGGGCACGGCCAGCAGTGACAAGGGACGCAGACACCAGGGACATAAGTCAAACAGGTGTGTGGTTGACACAGAGCCTTCAGGATGAAATAGCCTATGTGAACCGGAAGCGAAGCTTTTGCCCAGGACTTGACAATAAAGTAGAGAAATGGACTAACGTGTACCCCACACGTAGGAAGGGGACAGGCCCACCTCCACACCTAACTCAGGACTGACTGATGGGGGGTCTCAGATGATCTTTCTTTGCTCAAACTGTCTCCATCCCCCTTTTCAGAAGCTGCGGCAGAGCCTCTTTGGAAATACGGTCCATGTCTTCAGCCCCGACTGGAAGAGGGCCCGTTTCAGCTTCCACAAACCTTTTTCTGACCTGGCTTTCGCCTTGGAAGTGGGAGAGGTAATACAGGTGACCACCGAAGGTCCCAATTCCACGTCCCTTCTCTGTGTCCCCTCCATCCCCACCCCCGCGAACACATGCTATCACTGCCACCACCTGCACACACACGGTCACTTAAAATGCGAGCTTGAACAAGAACAGACTGTCTTGCAGTGACAACAAGCTATCTGGGTGGTAGCAAAGACTCAAACTTCCTTTTCTCCTCCTTCCATCTTCTAACGCCTCGGTCTCCTCGCTCTTTCTCCACGTCCTGCGCACCCCCGGGGATTTACAGGCAGGAGGAGATCTAGCAACTTCCTGTGGCTTGTTTCAGTAATTCATGTCATTGATCACCAGTCACGTAGAATCTCAAGAGCTGGCCATCTAGTTCCTTCCTTCCTCCAAACGGACAAGCTCGATGTGACGCAGGGGCATTGTGGAGGCAAGGTGGAGGGGGCCCATATCCCCAGGGGCCCGTCTATGGGGTCCACAGAGAAGCCGGTCACTGCAGATTCTAGCCTGGCGGAGCCCACAGGGAGGGTTGGCACGGCGTCCGATGCCCTTGCTCAGCCTGGGGGAAAGAGCCACCAAGGACAACGGTGCAGGGCACCCGTCCGCAGGAGCCCCCTCTGCAGCGTCAGCCCTGAGGCGCCCCACTGTGATTGTACCGCCCTGCACCAGCCTCTTGGTCCACCTTCCCCTCCAGGGCGGAGCTCGAAGCATCCAGATGGCCGTGCAGGGCTCCATCATCAACTACTTGCTGTTTCCCCGGAAGGAGAAAGACTGCCGCTTCCGCAGGTAAGAGGCCTCTGAGAAGTACTTGGAAGAGTTATTATTTCCTGAGAACCTTTATGCGCTAAATAATCGCAGCGGAAAGTCCCCTGGATCCCCTCAGGAAGGTGACTAGCTCGGGAGCCGGGAGTGGGGCTGGTCCTCCCGCGGGGCTGGACCGTGACCAGGAGGGCCTCCGGCAGTCACTCTCAAGTCCGGCTGCAGAATGACTGACAGCTGTCGCCTCTGCAGCAGACCACCCTGCCGGGCAGAACTGAGCACCAGGCCCCAGGTGGACGTCCCTGACCATTTTAATGGGAGCGTCAACCCAGCAATTCCAGGGAGGAGCTAAAGGGGAGAGCCTGAGAGGAAGGAGGAACCCTCCTGCCCTACCGGGCTGCCAAAGGGCAGTGTTTGGCAGTTGCCTATTTAAAACATCGGTTCAAATCACTTTCTTCTTAGAAGTTAAACAACCCTGTCCTTTGCAAAGCTCTGTGCTTGGTATCAGAGAAAAGATAAACCAGGGAAAAGCATCTCTCTGCCCTCCAGCAAGAGAAGCTAGCCCCCCAAAATGGGACTAAATGGACAGTATATTCCAAGGTGGTGAACAGGCAGGTGCCCGGAAGCCGAGCAGAGCTGGGAACTCCCTCCGCGGGGGTGGGAGGCAGGGTGGCGAAGGAGAAGCTGAGGGGAAAGAGGGTTTCCGGGGGAACCCCAGGTCCGGGGGAGCTCTGCGGGGTCACTGCCCCACCTGCAGCCGTGTACCTCCAGCCTCGGCATTGGCCAGGGGCCACCCTGCAGGAGGGCGTAGCTCCCGGTCCGGCCAGGTGCCTCCAGTTCCGCAGGGAAAGGAGCCGGTAGAAGCCAGCGGCAAGTTCTGGAAGCAAGCAGCTGGGAGCCACACCCCCCACCAAGTCAAAGGGGTCCCAGGAAACCCAGACGGGACACACACAGCACCTGGGGCACGAGGGTGAAGCATTTAACACAGTCCTGGCACGTGGCGAACATGAAACAGCTGGGAAGGAGTGACTGCTTCGGTGCACCAGCCCCGCGGAGCCTTCCGGAACCTTCCCAGCCCGCGATCTCTCTGCCGTCCTCAGAGCCCGCTCTTGACTCTCACCCGCCCCGCCAGGGCTTCGGCTGAGGCTCCTGGTCACGCGCGTCTGTGCTGCGCAGACCGAGGCGGACTCTATGCATTCCTGCTGGGTTCACTAACAGAACTGCGTGTTTCGTCGTCAGGACAACGGCTGTCAACATGACACATGAGAAGACGGGCAGAGGAACAGTCTGCCACGTAGAGACGCCCCGTCCCCGAATGGTGGAGCTGAGATTAGTACTCGGGGGGCGGGGGAGTGGCTGGTCAAGAGCAGGGAGGCGGGAGCCGGACTGCGGTTCAGGTCACGGCTCAGCTGCTGCAGAGACGCGTGGCCGGGCGAGTCTCAGCCTCTGGTCTCCAGCCTTCACCTCCTCGAGGGGAGAAGCGTCACCTCCCAGGTGCTGTGAGGACTGAAGGAGGGGCCGTGGGGAGTGCTCAGGTGTGCTGGGCACACAGCCGGGTGGGGGAAGCCCGGGTGAGTCAGGGCCAGGGGAAGGCGGGCTCAGCGCTGCACGGGTGTGGTCGGGGGTGTCATGGGGTGTGGTCGGGGTGTGGCCAGGGTGTGGTTGGGGTGTGGCCAGGGTGTGGTGGGGGTGCGGTCAGGGGTGTCATGGGGTGTGGTCAGGGTGTGGTCGGGGTGTGGCCAGGTTGTGGTGGGGCGTGGTCGGGGTGTGGCCAGGGTGTGGTGGGGTGCAGTCAGGGGGTGTCATGGGGCATGGTCGGGGTGGGTGTAGCTAGGGTGTGGTCGGGGGTGCGGTCAGGGGGTGTCATGGGGTGTGGTGGGGGTGCGGTCAGGGGGTGTCATGGGGTGTGGTCGGGGTGTGGTCAGGGTGTGGTCGGGGGTGCGGTCAAGGGTGTCATGGGGTGTGGTGGGGGTGCGGTCAGGGGGTGTCATGGGGTGTGGTCGGGGTGTGGTCAGGGTGTGGTCGGGGGTGCGGTCAGGGGGTGTCATGGGGTGTGGTCGGGGTGGGTGTAGCCAGGGTGTGGTCGGGGGTGCGGTCAGGGGGTGTCATGGGGTGTGGTTGGGGTGTGGTCAGGGTGTGGTCGGGGGTGCGGTCAGGGGGTGTCATGGGGTGTGGTCGGGGTGTGGTCAGGGTGTGGTCGGGGTGTGGTTGGGGGTGCGGTCAGGAGGTGTCATGGGGTGTGGTGGGGGTGCGGTCAGGGGGTGTCATGGGGTGTGGTCGGGGTGTGGTCGGCAGGGCCCCCGTGGGGTGTGCACGCTGAAGGCAGACAAGTGCGTGAGCAAAGGCAGGGTGACAGGAAATGATTTGCTCAGGGACTGGCACCTGTGTGGAGGGCTTGCCAGATGGACATCTGGGAGGTGAAATGGAGAGCGGCTTGGGCTGTGTTACTGGATGAATAGCGGCTCATCCCTGCTGGACTCCAGGAAAGCACAGCGGGGGGACACCACGGGGCGACAGTGCGGGGAGGGGATCCCCGAGAGGAGCTGCAAGGAGGACGCAGGTCCAGTGGCCGCAGAGAGGACAGGCCCTCCAGGGCACCTCACCGTGCGGGCCGATGAAGGAACCAGGGGACAGCCTGCGCCGTGTCCCCACCCCACCTCCTGCCTCGCAGGGTCCCAGCGATCAGCTCGCAGGAGCAGAAGCAGGCCCTGGCTGCCGCACTCGCTGGTGTCCTGTGGGCGGCGGGAGACGCTCAGAAGGCCACCGTCTGTCTTGTCACTGAGGACACTCACGTCACCCGGACCCCTGACTACTCGGCGGACGGCTTCACGGAGCGGGTGAGTGCAGCCTGTCCGTGCGGCTGGAGGCGGGCAGCACTGGGCTCAGCGTGGAGGGGAAGGTGGCCCACCCTTGCCCGGCATCTCTGTGGCCCAAGGCGCCGCCCAAAGAGGTGAGGACCGTGGGCTGTGAGTGATCCATGGTCCTGCTGTGGACTTCTCCTCCCAGAATCCACCCTGATCAAGAACACCCCGCGCCTGAAAGCTTCATAAACTACTCGTGTCCACTCTCATAAACTTAGCTGAATCCCACCTGTTAAGAAAATAATCTGTTTACGCCACTCGATGTGTTCCTTTCACATCGATGTTTCTCTCTCTCTCTGTTCCTCTCTCTCCCTCCCACTCTACCTGAACAAAAAATGGAAAAATGTCCTCGGGTGAGGATAAAAAAAAAAAAGAAAATAATCTGTTACGGTTTTACGGCTCAAGAGATCACATTGATTTAAAACTAAGAGATGTAGCCCAGCTGGTGTGGCTCAGTGGTTGAGCATCGACCCTGCACCAAGAGGTCGCGGGTTCGATTCCCGGTCAGGGCACATGCCCAGGTTGTGGGCTGATCCCCAGTGGGGGGCGTGCAGGAGGTGGCCAGTTGACATTCTCTCTCATCAATGTCTCTGTCTGTCTCTCCCTCTCCCTTCCACTCTCTCTCAAATCAATAAAGAAAATTTTTTTTTTTTAGTAAAATAGAACTGAGGCATGTAAACCTGAGGCCAACAGCACCCAGTTCCCCCCGTGTGTTTCCATCTGGCGTAGGAGACCGCGTTTGCGCTTAGCAGTGCGATTTTGCAATGAAACAAAAATCTCTCTCGAGGTCACAACCGCGAGTGGACACCTTAGAGGTGTAACTTCCGTGCTTCCTTTTCATCCTTACCTTCTCGTCCTGATTTATAGCTCCGGCTGTTTGACGTGTTAGAGCGAGAAGCCACCGAGAAATTCATCTATGACCATTTACAATGCGTAAGTGTTTCAGCGTTGAGATCGTGCTTTTATGTCGAGCCGATCGGACGCGCATCTTCTTCTCTCACAAAGCCTATTTTTAATGATGCTTGTTAAGAAGACCAGGCCATCCTGGGGGCTAAGGAAGGGGGGAATCAAAGAGAGGGAGCCCACCCCACTCGCCCCGCAACCCAGAAAGAGGCACATCAGACACAGGCCCCTTCCTGGCTAATCAAACCCAGGAAATAATACTGTGGAGGGCGCCCGCCAAGGTTTCTTTGTGGGAAGAGCCAACGCTGACGGAGCCTTGCTCGTCTAATGAGTGAAACCCCACGTGGTCGGCAGCGAGGCTGTAGCCCAAACTGTCAAAAGGGCCATTCACACGGACTCTGAGGAAAACACTTCTGGTCTGAAGCGGCGGCCCTGTCCCACCTCTTCCACACCTCGTGTCCCCAGCAGCGGCCCTCGGCCACCCCGTGCGGGCAGGGGACGAAGGACGGGACAGCAGCGGTTGACAGGGACAGCGGTGTGTTTGTGAGACTCCTCCGTGGAGGAAGAATTGGAAGTTGATCTGAAGAAGCGAGACTAGGCTGAGCGGAGAGACCGGAAGCCACACGACTCTGGGCTGTGCCCAAGGGGGACTGTGGTCCGTGGAACTTTCAAGGGCCGTGGAGGCAGAAGACGTGGACATGAGGGCCCGGCCACGCTAACTACATGGGGTCTCGGTGAAACCGGTTCCCCAGGGGGCTCCCCCTCCCGCCACCTCATAGGTCTGTTAGCAGAAGAATGGCCCCCCGAAGACAGCCAGGCCCTAGCCCCTGAACCCGCGAGTGCTACCGTCCATGAAAGGGGAGCTAGGCTGCCAATCGGCTGGCTTGGCAATAGGGAGAGTTACCCAGGTGGGCCCCGCGGCATCACAGGGCCCTGCACGGGGAGGAGGGCGCGGAGGAGCGGAGCAATGAGGTCTGAGAGGAGGGCACCACCCTGTGGCTCTGAGGATGAGGGGGGACCATGAACCAAGGAAGGTGGCCAGGGCCCAGCGCGGGCCGGGAACGCAAACAGGTTCTCCCCTGGGTCTCTGGAGGGAGAGCAGCCCGCTGACGTCTTGACTTTAGCCCCGGGAGACGCCTTCAGACTCCCGACCACCAGGACTGTGAGAGGATGCGTTTCTGTTACGTAAGGTGCTGGACGTGCAGCGATTGGTCACAGCCGCATCGAGACTGTGAGACCTGTATGGCGGACTCTCGTGACCCGACGGGAGATGTTAAGCCAGAAGCCTGCTTAGCGACGCTGCCTCGTGGGCGGGACATGTGCAACGGGGGGCGCAGCTCGAGAGGAGCCGGGGAAGAAATCAGCGACCTTCCCGCTGAAAGGAAAACCTCCCTGCTCTGTCGCCATCTCTTCAACTCAGACCTGGGGGAGTCGGTTCAACAGCAAGGACCCCACATCGGCAAGGGATCCTTAGGGGCTGAGACTCGGGGGGGCAGAGCTGCAGCCCTGGGCAGGCTAAGAGCGGAGCTGGGACCAGGAACAAGTCTCCGCGCACAGGCAGCCTGGGTCAAGCCGACCCAAGCTGACCATCCCCGTAGCCAGTGCTGGGGAGGGGTCAGCACCGTTCCTGAGCAAGGGGGGGGACTCGAAGCATATGCGGGGTAACCCAAAACACATATACACACACAATTAAACAATGTCTGTAGATGCTATTATGTTTTGGACATGAAATGTAGTTTAATAAGCACTGCCTTCAAAGTGCGCCTCCGTGTTTCAGGGCCTCCCTTTACTCTGAAGGGTGCTGCTTGACCAGGGCCTGCTCACTGTGGTCAGCCCCAATTCAGACTGTTACCAGACCCCATTCACTATCAAAATGCACCAGCCCTGTGTCCCAGCTTGGAGCACAGAGGTCAAGCTGGGTCCGAGGGTCCCCTGTGAGCAGCAGTCCTGCTGTTACAGTTGGAATTGCGTCCCCCTAAGAAAAGTGAGTGTAAGTCCTAGCCCCCAGGACCTGTGCACCTGCTCCGGTTGGGAAAGAGGGTCTTTGCGGGTACAATCAGGTTAAAACCAGGTCATGCGGGTTTTGCTATTTCTGTAAGAGGAAAACTGGGGCCTAGACCCAGACGAGCAGGGAGAACACCATGTGGTGGCGGAGGCAGAGGCTGGAGGCAGGCACCTCTCAAACCAAGGGGCACGGGGGACGCCAGCAGCCCCAGAAGCCGGGAAGGTCCAGGGAGGACCCTCCCCCGGGGCCTGCGGAGAAAGCAGGGTCACTCTGACCCTGATGGAAGACTTCCGGCCCCAGAACCAGGAGAGGGAGCGCTCCTATCGTTTTACGTCATTCAAAGTTCTGGCCCTAGAGGGTCAGCCACCTGTCTCTGCAGCATTACCCCACCGGGCGTACATTTTTTAAAGAATCTGAGTCAGCGACAGTCCAAAACAACCAGGAAATCCCACATAAAAACCTGAATGTCCGCTTTTCCCAAGAAAATCGGGAAATCTGGCCGCACCGGACCTGCAACTCGGCACGTCCTCCACGGGCTGGCGACCCCCATCCGACAAGTTGTGACAGACTGAAGGACGTTACCTCGCAGGTACAGAGGACAATGCAGGTGTGATTCCGTTTGAGATGTCGAGACGGGGAGATGACCCTGGTTTATCCCGGTGGGCTCGGATGGCCATGGGCTGCGTAAGGAAAAGGGGAGGGGAGGAGCGGAGGGGGAGGGGACGCAGTGCCGAAGCAAAGGGATAGGGCACCCTGGGCCGAGGAACAAGGATGGCTTCTAGGGACTGGAAATGGGCAGAAAGCAGTCTCCCGAGGGGCCTCCAGGCAGGACACAGGCTTGCCAGCCATCTGAACGGGGCCAGCGATACCCAGGACTCCAGGATGTAAGACAGTAAGTTCACGGGGCTGTGAACCCCGAGTGCGTGGCAAGTTGCTGGGCAGAGTTGGGAAAGACGACCCGAGTCTTCTCGGGCGGCCTGCACGCTCCCTCACCGCCTGCAGCGCCCATCTGGGTGCTGTCTGGCCCCTGGCCTCGGAGTGTGTCCCCCTGCCAGGTCCCAGAGAGCAGAGGGGACGCATGACTCCATACGGAGGAAGCACAGGCATCTTCGTTGAAGCCTTCAGACACAGCGCCTCTCGGGGGGAGGCATCAGCCCCGGCTCCCCAAGGCCAGCCCGGCAGCCTCTCTTTAGCAGGCTGAGTATTAACAAAAACCTGAGGCCAGCGAGTGAGAGGCCCTGAATGTTGGTCGGTCACTTCGGATGTAATCCTGCAGATCAGTCGCCTTCAGAAAGTGCTGAGCAGAAAAGCAACCCGACGAAGAGAAGGGACAGGAGGAGAAATGCCTTAGAGAACTGTAGCTCTAGCACGTCCCAAGAACCGGTGCAGGTGTTTGCATTGTGTCACTAGCTTTGGCAACACACCTGCGGAACAGGTGTTTCTTCTGCAGACAAGGAGATTGCAACTCCAAGACGTTAGATAACTCGGAGTCAGTGAGGAGGAGCCCCGGTTCAGAACCGAGGGCCGCGTACCTACAAGCTGTTTCTATAAAGTCTCTCGACTCCCCTGACTTTCTTGGGGCAACCAGGAGGGTTGCACTGACTGAGGAGAGGCTGGGAAGGGGGGCCGGCCAAGGGCAGCGCTGGGACCTGGGCTCGGAGGCACAGCAGAAAAATGGAGAGGAGAGACACGCTCCATCTGAGCCAGGATTTGCAGAGAATCCGCAGAAGGAAGTAGAAGGGAGAAAGAGAGGCTCAGAGCCAAGAGAAGGAGGGCACCCTGGGCAGGCTGAAGCAGGAAGGGGAATGCCTCTGAGAGGCACCCGGGAAGGAGAGAGCCCCCTGTCCTCGCCTCAGCAGCTAGGAAAGCGATCTCCCGGGCACTGACTCCCTGAGTTCACGCCACAGGTGTACACGCTGCACCGCTTGTAGGCAAACGTGCTTTTCTCTCATTTCCCAACAGTTCGGTGGGGAAGGAAGCCGCGGGGTCATCCTGTTTCTTTACAGCCTGATCTTCTCCAGAACATTTGAAAGGTAAACTCTACAAGTACACGCACAGGTCTATGGCTCTGGGTTCACATAAACCTTGTATCCTGGTGAAGGAAAGTATTTTCATGCATTGGAAATCTGGGTGCAATTTTTTAAAAAAATTTTTTTTTCTTTATTGATTTTAGAGAGGCAAGGAGTGAGAGGGAGAGAGAGAGAAACATCAATGAGAGAGAACACTGACTGGCCGCCTCCTGTGACCCCCACTGGGGATCGGGCCCACAACCTGGGCATGTGCCCTGCTCAGGAATCAAACCGGCGACCTCTTGGTGCAGGGTTGACGCTCAACCACTGAGCCACACTGGCCGGACTGGGTGCAATTTTTTTCTAGTGGATACCCTTCTCTTGCTATGGCCTTTTCCATGGTCAGTTTGGCCATATTAATGGGGGCGCAAGTGTCATCAGAGAAGCTTGAATCTGCTTTTCTGGTGCAGTGGTAGGTTCCTTCCTTTTGTGGTTATAGATATTGGCAGACAACAGAGCGTATGTGTATAATGTTATATAAAATATTGTATTCTTTATATGTGTGATAAAATGGATCCTCGAGTATTTCTTTTGCCCCTGTGATGTGCAAAGGCCTGTTCTCCACACTGTGGGAAACATGAAGAAGGGCAGGTAGGGCCCTGGCCTCCTGTTGGTTCCAGTCGGGGACAGACAAGGCCCCCAACGAGCCTGGGCGCGTCCCAGCTGGTACTGGCTGTGCCCAGTGAGGTGTAGGGACAATGAGTCTACTGGACTCCAGAGGGTTATGGTAGGCAAGGAAGACTTCTTAGAAGCAGACGACTTTCTTCTGGGCTCTGGAAGGAAGGTAAGCTTTGGGGGAAATAGAGGCCCCCAGAGAGAAGAATTACAAGCCCTGAAGCAGTGTCCCTGAAACTGGCCTATTGTATATCACCGTCAGATTTTTGTGGTGTACACGATTACTTGCTTAAGTGTTCTTTAAACCAACACACAATTAAATATCAGCTTCTTTCTCAACGGGACTATTCTTTAAACCATGCATTCATTGTGATAAATAAAATATATATGTATTAAACACATCACTATAAAAATTTTTAAATGCAGTCCGGCCAGTGTGCCTCAGTGGTTGAGCATCGACCCTGCACCAAGAGGTCGCCAGTTTGATTCCCGGTCAGGGCACATGCCCAGGTTGTGGGTCTGATCCCCAGTGGGGGGCGTGCAGGAGGCGGCCGATTGATGTTCTCTCTCATCGATGTTTCCATCTCTCTCTCCCTCTCACTTCCTCTCTCTCTAAAATCAATAAAGAAAAAAAATTATAAAAATTCAAAAATTTTGAATGCCCATATCCTTACCATCCAAAATCATGCCATCCTTGGGACAGCACAGCCCTGAATCACGCCTGATGCTGCCGACACTCATGCTTGGCCCCAGTCTTTAGGTCTTATTCACGGAAGAGCTTGACCTCTGGTCCCGTGAACAGGTCCTGTCAAACAGAACCAGTACTCAGCACCTCCCCCTGGGTGACAGCAGAGCCACATCACACCTTGACCTTAACCTTGTTCGGGGCAGAAGCCCAAGTCTCTGATGACACAGCAGAAGCTGCCCTTCTAGAGCCACGACAGGGGCTCAGCCCCAAGGTGGTGTTTTCCACTGAACAGTCTGTTCGAGTCTGGAGGGCTCACAGGCCACCACCTAAGTCAAGCATCTCTCGTCCCAAAGCAGCGTCTGCGCCGAGCCCAGCAGCAGAGCACGCACAGGACTCTCCCCCACCTCTGCGCTGGCTGCCCCCACCCACACCCACAGCTTTTCCTACGCAGCCCGGTCCTCGTGCTTCCCTGTGAGAAGTGGACATTGGCAGGAACAGTGACGAGCCAGCCTGTGTGACTGCTGCTTTGGTTGGGGGTGCAGGGAGCAGAGGCAGTCACCCTGTCTGACCACATGCTCACGGCTTCTTCCGTTCTGCAGGCTCCAGGGGGACCTGGATGTCTCCACCACGCACCTGTTACAGCCAGGCGCCGGGGGCCTCCTGTGCGGGCAGGTGGGTCGGAAGACTTCGGCTTGCTGTCGTCAAGTCTGACGTAGGCTTTTGTGTTGTTGTTTTTCAATGAAGCCTATTGTCTTAAGTGAAGAGAGATTGAGTTATCTCTGAAGACTAAGATGCCACCCTGAGTTTGTTATCCTATTTAACCTTCCAATTTCCATTGCAATCCTTTCTAGTTTACCTCTGGGAACCCCACATCCCTGATACTCTAGAACCATTAGAAAATACCCTCTTTTTTTGTATTTAATTTACTGGGGCCACACTGGTTAACAAAATTATACAGGTTTCCGGTGCACAGCTCCACAACACATCATCCGTACCCTGTATTGTACTGTGTGTTCACCACCCCGAGTCAAGTCTCCTTCCATCACCGTTTATCCCCCTACACACCCCTCCACCTCTTGAAAATATCTCGCCAAGACCCGCACAGAATCCCCAATAACTGAGAGAGAAGTACTATGAAAACATCTGAGCTTCATGTCTCTGAAATCCTCACTATGGAAACCACGTTTTTAAAAGAAATGGAAAGGGGAAGACAAGTCATGAGATCCGAGTGAGCACACGGGAAATTATGGCGTGTGGCTCAAGAAAAAAGTCAACTGTGGTTTGAGCCCTACCACATGTTCAGGACATGCATCTTTCCAGAATTATGTATTACATTATTTCATTCCTTCCAGTAAGAAAGGTCGTTTTAAAATGATTGTTAAAAACAAAAGAAATTAAGTCCTGTGCCGTGGCTACCGAAATGTGAGTATGTGAGCTGTGTCATCCAGGCGGTTCTGAACTTGATCTTAACGGGGAGAGCAAGTCCGAATGTCTTCGACGGCTGTCAGAACGGGGAGTCTCAGGAGACACTGCGCGGAGTCCTGATGCGCAGTGACGTGGGCTTCCTGCGGTGGCGTAGGGACACCTCAGACGACGTGCTTCCCCAGGTGAGTGTGCCCTGGCCCTCAGCCACACAACCAGAGTGCAAATATTTTGACATTTTTAGGTCTCGCTATTAAAATCTGAGCTTACTTTTACTACTTTCCTGCATATATTCCACCCACTACGCACATACACATGCACACACACACACATGCACACGTACACATGCACACATGCACACGTACACATGCACATGCATACATGCACACACATGCACGCACACAAACACAGAGACTGTCAGGGTCTACACAGAAATATCCAACCCTGTCTGCTTCATACTTTGCTTGATGTACTTTATGTACAAGGAGTCAGTGTCCCCACCCAGCTCCAGGCCCCTTCACAGAAGCCGGCACTGCCAGTAACTGATGGGCATCTTCCCAACCCTTTATTCATGCAAATGGACACATATTCTATCTACTGCTCAACGCTTAAACATATCACTGGGGGGATGGGGGTGGCCCACTTGTCTTGTTGCTGCTGCTGCTGTTTTTCAGTTTCGGTTGCCGTTCGATGCTGTTTCATATCAGTTCAGACGTGCCGCCCAGTGAGAGGGGCCACTTGGCAAACTCCCCTCAGAGGCTTTGCAGCTCGGGGTCTTCACAACCCCGGACGAGCGGAAGGTAGAATCCGCTGCTGCAAAGCACAGCGGCGACTTCAGTAAGATGAGACTCCCTGAAACAACCAGGAGCGAGTGAGAACGTGGATGTACCCACCCGGACCGCAGAGCAGGGATACGTCTGTGCTATTTTCCCAGTGGTTTTCAGCCTGAAACCCAGGGAAGTCAGATTCTGTGCAAAGCAACGAACTGGCCTCGAGGCCAGCTGGGGGGTGTCCAATGTGATGGTGACAGGCTCCCCAGGCACCAGCCCTCGAGGCCCTGCGGCTCAGTGCCTGACCTGTCCCCACCTCCCCTGCTCCCGCTCAGAACCCTCCGCGTGTGCAGGGCCGCACACCTCCACGTCCTGCCGTGTGCACCGTGCCGTCCACCGTCCCCTCCTGGTGGCCCCAGCGTGTGGTGTGAAACCGCATGGCACAGCACACAGACCCTGCGTCTGATGGTGTCAGGACGGTGGTGTGTGGCCGTTGCCGAATTAGCATGTTTCGTGTACAAATGTGTGTTCCAAGTCTGCTTATTACTGCTCAAGGTTGAAATCCAAGTTCATCGCAGAAAGATGAGGACGACAGATAAGCTCAAAGTAAAAAAGACAAACCCAACCCATCACTCGGGCCAATCCTTTCAAAACGCCTCTTCTCTTCCTCTTTCTCATACGCCGTGTCCGTTGTACTCTCCGAAACCTGCCTTTCTCTGCAGCGCGGAGACCTCTGTATGGCCGGGGTCCAGCCCTCGGTAGATCTGATGGCTACGGAGCTCCGCCCTATGGATGGGAAGGGCTGTTCTTTGAGAGCACCCTGGACAAAAGCTGCATTTGTTATTATGATAAAGTCCCTAATCACTTGTTCCAGATATTTGGGGATTCGCCTTAGAATATGTTGCACATGTAACGTCCGCAGCCGAGGGCTCTGTATGTTGCAGAAACCAGTGCTGTGCAGGGACTCCGTTCGGGGAAAAGCGGCAGGATGCTCTGGGGCAGGGGTCAAGGGGGCCCCGCAAATCCACAGCGCTCGTTCTAGTGTTTGTCTTTTGTTACAAAACTCTTTACGATATTCTCATTATCACCCACAACGATTTAAAGCTGTGCTTCCCATATTTCAGTCCCGCGAGCAGGTCATTCACGAGCTTGGTCATAGCTCCACACCCCTCTGCTATGATTGCCTCCTCCTTTTCTTTAAATCGACTCACGTGTAGAATTTTAATCTAAAAACAAAATTGCATCCAACCTTTTTCTGCAGCAAGAACACAAGCCATGGAGTTGACGGGCTATTTCCGTTCCTAATACGTATTTAAATGAAAAAAAAAACACGTTTTGTGTTCGAAGTTCACCCCTTCTGCCACTGACTCAGTTCCACGTGCCACCCGTGGGCGCTCGCCCCACGCTGTCCCGTAGCAGCTCAGGGGCAGCCCTGGCCTGGAAGCCGGGGACTCGGTGGGAGGCCTCGCCCTGCACTCACAGGGGTGCGTCTTGGCCAGCCCCTTACTCTCAGCCTGTTTCCTCGTCTACAGACCAGGGTGCCGTCACCTGTCCGGCAACCACAGAACTAATGAAGAGGAAACAAAACTGAACGCTGAACCTGCTAGACAGCCCAACAGCTGACACACGTCAGACTTTGTAACAGGGCAAGGGGTACAAGGGGTACAAGGGGCACAGGGACAGTGCTTCACTGGGCCACGTTCGTGCATCTCCTCGTGCCAGGCTCCGTGGCCATACACGTGTGAGTCCCACGTGGGCCAGTACAAATGCCCACACTGATGGATTGAGGAAGGTACAGGCGACAGATGTACAGCCACTCTGGAAGGCCGCTTGGAAGCCCTGGCCGGTTTGGCTCAGTGCTTAGAGTGTCAGCCCGCGGACCGATGAGTCACGGGTTTGATTCTGGTCAAGGGCACGTACCTTGGTTGTGGTTCATCCCTGGCCCTGGTCAGGGTCATGCAGGAGGCAACCAGTCGATGTGTCTCTCTCACATCGATGTTCCTCTCTCTCTCCCTCCCACTCTATCTGAAGATAAATGGAAAAATATCCTCTGGTGAGGATTTAAAAAAAAAAAAAAAACTAAAAACTAAACTTATTGTTAACATGCAATGCAGCAAATGCCCTCCTTGGTATTTACCCAAAAGAGCTGAAAACTTATATCCAGCCCTGGCCAGTTTGGCTCAGGGGTTAAAGCGTCAGCCTGCGGTCCTGAGAGACCCGGGTTCGGTTCCTGCTAAGGGCATGTATCTTGGTTGCAATTTGTCCCCGGCCCTGGTTGGGTTGTGCGGGTGGCGGCCACTCAATGTGTCCCTTTCACGTCGATGTTTCTCTCTCTCTCTCTCTTTCCCTCCCACTCTATCCAAATAAAACATGGGAAAATGTCCTCAGGTGCGGATAAAATAAAAAACTTATATCCCCACAAAACCTTGCCCATGGACGTTTATAGCAGCTTTATCCATAATCACCAAAACCTGGAAGCAACCAAGTTGCCTTTCGTAGGTGAATGGATGCACAAGCTGCGCTACATCGCGGAATGTTACTGATCCAGCGGAATGTTACTGATCCAGCGGAATGCTATTTGCAACATTTCCGTGAAACAGCATTCAGTGCCCTGAAGAAAGGACTCACTGAGCTGTGCAAACACACGGAGGCCACCTGAATCATGTTACTACGTGCAGGAAGCCAATCTGCAAGGCCCCTCCCCGGCCCCGGCGCTGGGCCCCGCTGCGTTTCCGCCGCAGTGGCCGAGCATTCCGGTTGCTCCCCATCCTCACCGGCATTTGGTGTCGTCAGTGTCCCGGATCTGGGCATTCTGATAGGGGTGGAACGGAGCCTCGCCGTTGTCTGAACGTGCGTTTGCGCGATGATACATGACATGGAACATCTTCACACGAGCTCATTTGCATCTAGGAATCTTCTTTGCTGAGGTATCTTTCAAAGTCTTCGGCCCACTGGGAGAGCTTTTAAACCACCAGGGCCCCGCTCACCCCCCAGAAGTGTCAGCTCCCCACGTGCAGGGTCATGTCATCGCCAAGGGTCCCCCCAGGAGGCCCTGCTCTCAGTTTAATGCTCCGCTGTCGCCATCCTAAAATTCTGAGTAATGTTTGAACAAGGCCCCGCATTTCTGTCTTGTGCTGGGCACTAGTGACGTGGCTCGTCCCACCCGATAACTGTTCCAGTTGGTCTGGCGAGAACCTCGGCATCAGAATTTTCTAAAGCCTACGGGTGTTTCCAACGTGGCACCTAAGTTAGAAACCTCTGTTCTGGGGGGGCTGCTCAGCCTTAGCACCTGCTGCTGACAGTGTGGACCGGATCATTCGTTGTGACGGGGTGTTCTGTGCACTGGGGGTGTTAGCAGCATCCCTGGCCTTGCACACCAGACGCCAGTAACAACCTCCCCCCCCCAACAACCACAATGTCTCCAGACACTGCCAAATGTCCCCTGCGGGACAGAATTGCCCAGCTGAACCACCACACTAAGGAAAGGGGGGGTCTTGTTACGCTTAGATAATTAGATCCACAGTGAGTAGAATTGGAAAACTCGCTATTTCAACTGACATTACAAGAAAGAGTCTCTTCTTTTCATCAGTATCAGGAGGTTGACAGTGCTCCGCTCCCTGTTAACATTCACAAGGCTCTGGGGAGACGTTTCAGACCTGACCTGAAATTAAAATTAAACGAGTGTTTGCTAAATAGCTAGTAAGTCGCTCTGAGAGAAGGGACTGTATTAAGGAGTATGCCACCGAGGGAGAGGGAGGGGGGCTCAGAGAGTCAAGAATTTGTGGGCGCCCAGTGCTCCCATCTTCTCCGATCACATTTCCTTTCCACACAAGTCGGCTCAGAGCAACGGGGCTATTCCATCATGCTCTCACAAAAATTATCTGCGCATCTTAAAATATTCTCCGACAATAAAGTCGAGGTTTGCCAGGAGCTTAAAGCCAGTGGAGAAGCTGCAAATATGATTAGGTAAAAAACAAGCACCTTCCTGCTGGGAAGAGGGCAAACCGTCCCAGACGAGAGGACCGCTAGCGGATGCCTGTCCGCAAATTGAAGTCGGACAAAGGGCGGGACCTGCTCAGGGTCGCTCTGCAGCGACAGAAATCAAATCTGCGAGCTTCCGCCTTTCTGAACAGTGGCCACCGGCTTCCCATCCTTCCTGTTTGGACTGCGTCCTCTGTCCCCGGGGAGACCCCCGTGAATCTGGCCTCAAGGAAAATTGCCTGCAATTGTCTGCTAATGGCCTGAAACCCTGCCGATGTTTATTGAGCTGTCTCTGTGCTCTTGAAGTTGGCTTCAGAACGAATGTATTAAAGAGTGAAGAGACTGTTCCTTTTCTTTCTTGCTCAGCTGAGACGTATGAACATGTTAGACGTACACTTGTAGATGTAGAAAGTTCATTTTATCTGGAGGTATTC